TATTATATATATATATATATATATATATATATATATATATATATATATATATATATATATATATATATATATATATATATATATATATATATATATATATATATATATATATATACGTATATATCGTTTTGTTTTTGATGTTAATAAGTATATCTTAAAATTTCTTATACATTTTTTTGCAATGTAATAATACTTTATTTTTTTCTTCTTTTCTCTAAAAAATTGATAAAATGAAAATGGTTGTATTTAATATATTAACAAAAATTAAAAAAAAAAACGACGAGAGATATATTTTATTAAATATATACGTTATCATTTAGTCATGGTTAACATAAAGTATAATATCAATTATTAAATAATATTAATTATGCATTAATTAGGAACATGTAATTTATATGAACAATAACTATCCTATTAATACTTACAATTATATATGCATACAATTTCTTTATGCTACAAATTATAATTATTTTTTAGAAACAATGATAATGGTAATGACGATGATTAATATTGATGGTCACTGTTTTTTTTTTTTTGGTTTATTAATTTTCAACTTTTTTCAGGACTTGTATCTGTTAAAGAAATTCGGCAATATTCGAAATAATATATCAAAGAAAAAAAGAAAAAGAAGACAATATTAAATATTATTTGAAATTTTGAAGCTGAAAAGAAGAGGATAAATATCATCAAATCGAAAAATCAAACTGATAATATCAAATTTATTCAAGTGTTTCAAGTTCTTGAAATATCTAATCGAAATTTTTTCTCTCCTTTTAAATTCTTTTATTCAATTCGAATATTTGCTAATTAATTAAGTAAAAAGCAGATGGTGAAAGAGCTTTGTCATCGGTGTTCAAAACCTGTCTATCCAACTGATAAAGTTGGTCCATTAAAAGATTCAACATTTTTTCATCAGGGATGTTTTAAATGTTATATTTGTGGGACACGTTTAGCATTAAAAACATATTGCAATAATCGAAATGATATTAATGATCAGGTTAGTTTTTTATTATATTTATATATATATTCTTTTTTTTCTGTTTAGAAAAAGTTTTATATAAAATTAATTATAAATGAAATAAAATAGAATAGAAGAAAAAATAAAAATGAATTGCTATATTATTAAGATAGCAATATTGATTAATTTATATTATCAAGATAGCAATATTGATTGTTCTATTTTATTAAGTTTGCAATATTGATTGATTTGCATTATTAAAATAGCAATCTTGATTAATCTATATTATTAAGGTAGAAATATTGATTGATTTATTCGGATACATTCTATCACTTTTTTTTTTATGATAATTTTTTTTATCATATTATCAAGATAATAGTATTGAATGATTTGTTTAAATATATTTTATCATTTTTGTTTATAATAATTTCTCTTATTTTATTATTATTAAGATAGTAATATGGATTTATTTACTTGGATATATATATTTTTTATCACTTTTTTTTACAATAATTTTTCTTATCGTATTATTCTAGTATTAGTAGTATTGATTGTTTAACATTAAAGATGTTTAACTATTTTTTTTTTTCAGTGATAATTTTTTGTTTTTTTTTTTTTTTTTTTATAGGAAATTTACGTAACAGTCACGTACCAATAGCGGGTCCACATGATTTACTACCAATGCGTAATGGTTACAGTAATGGAACAAATCGTAGTAATGGTTTTCGTCGTGATGCTGGCTTAAATGATTTAAAAATTGCTCATGCAATTAAAGCTACACAAGTTTCAAAACCATATCCAAAAATAAAACATGCTGGTGCACGTTATGTTGTGGTAAATTATATGAAATAATTTTCTTCAAATTATAAAATTTTTTTTTTTTTTTAAAAAAAAAACTTTAATTTGAAATAAATTTATTCATGTTTTTCTTTTGCCCAAATTTTTAGCTAATTAAAATAAATCGAAAGATATTTAGAAATTGAAACATTTATAAGTATTAATTTTAATTGATAAATGCAAAATTTGTAGTAATCTGAAATTTAAAAAAAAAAGACTGTGAAAAAAGATGCATATGATAATTGTTAATTTTTGTAAAATTTTTGAAATTCAATCGAAACTATTTGATAATCTTATCAAATAGATTGATTCAAATAAATTTATCGAGTAATTGAAATTGTTATCAATTTTAATCAAGAGATTATTATTTGAAATTTAAATGCTTCATGCATGAGTGGTGATTTAATGAATAGAATATTCGGCAGAGTCAAATATTCCAGCTTAATTGATTAATTAAAGAACCTTAAATTCAAGCCAAAATAAAATGAAACAATAAACGTTAAATTTATTAATTTCCTAAAGCAATTGAATAATTACGCTTCAATAACGTTTAACAACAAAATTTTGCAGTACAAATTTTCAAAAGTTAAATTTTTGAAATTTTAAAAATTCGAGGATTTTTTTTGGCATGATTTTTATCAATTTCTGAATGAAATACAATTTATTATTTTGTATTTTCCCTCATTTTTTTTAATGGGTTTATTTTAATTTAAAAAAGAGAAATTATGGGAAGAAGCTGGATTAAAAGGAATTAGTTTTCAAAAATAAATTTTAGCATAATTTTCTAAAAAAAAAAATTTTTAAAATTATGCCAAAAATTTTAACAAAATTTTAACATCAAAATTGTAACATAATTTTCTCTTCATTGATACTTTCTTCAAATTCATTGTTATCAATTGTTGATGAGAATTTATTTTGACATAAATTTTTGTAAGATTAAATGAAAATTTAAGGATTACGATGCACAAACTCGATTGGAATTAATCCATCGTAAGGATGAGGATAAATTGTATGAAGCATTTGATGAAAATAAGAAACGAGAATATGATCAATTTGAAAAGGAAACTAAGGTAAATATTTTTAAAATTGATCAAATTCAAAATTAATTCCTAAAAATTAATCAAAGGAAATTTTTATTTAAATTTGAAAAGCAAGTTGAAATTTAAAATAAACGAAAAAAAACAAGTTAAAATTAACTTTGGTTAAAATTCTTTTCAAAGTTTGGGAAAAAACCGTAAAATTTTTTTTAAAAATATGTTTAATTGAAAAGAAAGACAAAAGTTCGAGTTTGTTTTTTTTTGGCTAATAAATCAACTAAGTTTAAGTCCAAAAAAAAAGTTATGCAAAATTATTTAGGAAGAATGGGAACAAGCATTGGCTGATTTTGCTCAAAAATACGAAAAAGGTCAAGTTGGTAGTAGGAATAAGGAGGATTTAATTAGGCATTTGACAATTAAGCGTGACAAAAAATTGGAAACATTACATCAGCAACGAAAAGAACGTGAACGTTTGCAAACGGTGGAATTACTTGATCGACAAGCTAAAGAAATGTTGGACTTATTTAAGCAAGCAAGAGTGGTAAAATTATTTTAAAAAAAAATTTGAAAGAAATTATCATTTCCTATTTTAGTTTAATCGTACCACATGTAATAAGAGATCCTATCATATCTGATAAGAGATCATATGATGTCTGATAAGAGATCATACTATCTATATCTGATAAGAGATGAATAATCCGATGATATTTTTATAATTCTCTTATCGTAATTCATCATTTGTTTACAGAATGCTACATTTTTAAAAGTGCTCTATGATTTTAATTATTTCATGTATAAAGCACATTAATGAATAGATTATTAATTTCAAATTAGTAACACAATAGTAATTAAGTGTTGATTAATTATAGAAGTAGGCCAAATCATTGGATATTCATATGACATTTCATTATTAACAATATTTGATTCGAAAAAAAAATAGTACCAATGTTTTTTTTTCTTTTTTCTTTTTATTTATTTATCAAACTATTTTTGAATTGAAATTTCAAATTCCTTTTTATCATATTTTACAATTCGATTTAAAATTTTATTTTTATCACTTTAATCAATAGGATTTAAAATATCAATTCTCTGCTTTCTTTTCTGCCATGTATTCAATCAAAAAATTAAAACTTTTCTAAATTATTTTTTTAAAAATAAAAAAAAATTGAAATTTTCAAATTATTCATTAATTAAACTTATGCATACTGTAATACATTTATACTCATATTGAATTTGATCAAATTATTTTTAAATTCAAATATTTTAAATTTATAAATTTCTTTTTTTTTTTTGTCATCCAGGAATGTGATGATTCCTCATCTCATGGACCACCATCCTATCCAACAACACCACCACCACCACAACCACCAATTTGTAGTAAACGTGACATTTATACCAATACAATGGTATTTGAAGCAATCGATGAAGTAGCAATTACTATGGCACAATCAGAAATTACAACATTTACTGAATTAATTCGAACATTAACAGCTAATGCACGAAATGATATTGAAAAAGCAAGGTGAATTTTAATGAAAATTTAAAGAAAAAAAAAAAGGAAAAAAAGACGAATGAACAAATATTTTGGTGATAAAATGATAACTTATCAAAATAAAATTTTCACTTATTAAAAAAAAAAATACATATGAGATATTTTTCAGATAAAAAAGAAAAAAAAAAACATTTATCTATAAAATAATTTATTTTAATTCTATTCTTCAAATTCTTTTTTTTTCAAAGCCACAAAATTGTCGTTATCATTGATAAAATGTTTACTTCAAGCGTAATAAATATAATGTAAATAATGTTAAAATAAATATTCATTACTAATATATATATATACATATATATATATATATATATATAT